GCCTGTGTCAGTGTGTATCAGGGGCTCTGAGGACAGGTGTCAATCCATATCTGCCAAGTGACCCTATGTAGGAGGAACAGTCTCTATTCTGCTCTGTGTCAGTGTGTATCAGGATCTCTGAGGACTGGTGTCAATCCATATCTGCCAAGTGACCCTATGTAGGGGGAACAGTCTCTATTCTGCTCTGTGTCAGTGTGTATCATGGTCTCTGAGGACAGGTGTCCATCCATATCTGACAAAGTGACCCTATGTAGGAGGAACAGTCTCTATTCTGCTCTGTGTCAGTGTGTATCAGGGGCTCCGAGGACAGGTGTCAATCCATATCTGCCAAGTGATCTCTATGTAGGGGAACAGTCTCTATTCTTGCTCTGTGTCAGTGTGTATCATGATCTCTGAGGACAGGTGTCAATCCATATCTGCTAAGTGACCCTAAGTGTAGGGGAACAGTCTCTCTATTCTGCTCTGTGTCAGTGTGTGTATCATGATCTCTGAAGACAGGTGTCAATCCATATCTGCCAAGTGACCCTATGTAGGAGAACAGTCTCTATTCTGCTCTGTGTCAGTGTGTATCATGGTCTCTGAGGACAGGTGTCAATCCATATCTGCCAAGTGATCCTATGTAGGAGGAACAGTCTCTATTCTGATCTGTGTCAGTGTGTATCAGGGGCTCTGAGGACAGGTGTCAATCCATATCTGCCAAGTGACCCTATGTAGGAGGAACAGTCTCTATTCTGCTCTGTGTCAGTGTGTATCATGGTCTCTGAGGACCGGTGTCAATCCATATCTGCCAAGTGATCCTATGTAGGAGGAACAGTCTCTATTCTGCTCTGTGTCAGTGTATATCGTGTGCTCTGAGGACAGGTGTCAATCCATATCTGCCAAGTGACCCTTTGTAGGGGAAACAGTCTCTATTTTGCTCTGTGTCAGTGTGTATCATGGTCTCTGAGGACAGGTGTCAATCCATATCTGCCAAGTGACCCTATGTAGGAGGAACAGTCTCAATTCTGCTCTGTGTCAGTGTGTATCAGGGGCTCTGAGGACAGGTGTCAATCCATATCTGCCAATTGACCCTATGTAGGGGAAACAGTCTCTATTCTGCTCTGTGTCAGTGTGTATCATGGTCTCTGAGGACAGGTGTCAATCCATATCTGCCAAGTGACCCTATGTAGGGGAACAGTCTCTATTCTGCTCTGTGTCAGTGTGTATCATGATCTCTGAAGACAGGTGTCAATCCATCCTCTGAAAGTTAGCCGGGGCATTCTTCATCCCGAATGGCATGACCTTAAACTGATACAGGCCAAACGAGGTGACAAATGCCGACTTGTGGATGGCGTCCTCGGCTAATGGAATTTGCCAGTACCCCTTGCACAGATCTATTGTGGTGAGGTACTGGCCTCTGGCCATTTTGTCAAGGAGCTCGTCTATCCGGGGCATAGGGTAGGCGTCTGAGGTTGTTTTATCATTTAGCCTCCGGTAGTCTACACAGAAATGGGTCGTGCCGTCCCATTTCGGTACTAGTACTACCGGGGAGGCCCAGGGGCTGTCAGAGTGTTCTATCACCCTAACTGCATAATTTCTTAAATTTCTTTCCGCATATTTTCTTTAACTGCTTCGGGTATGCGATAGGCGGTTTGGCGAAGGGGGGTCTGGTCTAGGGTTTCAACTTTGTGAGTGGTTAACGGACTGTACCCAGGTAGGTTGGAAAATGTGGCCCCCTTGTCCTGGATTAGTCTTTGGACCTGGGTTCGCTCCTGGGGTCTAACCGTTCTCCTAACTGTACTTCTCCCAGGTCTCCGCTCTGGCCCTCTAGGTCTAGGCGATCTGGGAGTGGCAAATTATCATAATCTTCAGTGGCAGGTGCACAGATCGCGGTTACCTCTTCCGTGCGCTCGTGGTATGGCTTGAGCATGTTCACATGGAGCATGCGCTTGCCTCCCGTGCCTGTGACCGCACCGATCACAAAGGTGGTATCACAAGCCTGCTCTACCACCTTGTATGGGCCCTGCCAGGAAGCCTGCAGCTTGTCCTTGTGGACAGTGTCAATCCATATCTGCCAAGTGACCCTATGTAGGGGGAACAGTCTCTATTCTGCTCTGTGTCAGTGTGTATCAGGGGCTCTGAGGACAGGTGTCAATCCATATCTGCCAAGTGACCCTATGTAGGGGAACAGTCTCTATTCTGCTCCGTGTCAGTGTGTATCATGATCTCTGAAGACAGGTGTAAATCCATATCTGCCAAGTGACCCTATGTAGGAGAACAGTCTCTATTCTGCTCTGTGTCAGTGTGTATCAGGGGCTCTGGTGTCAATCCATATCTGCCAAGTGACCCTATGTAGGGGGAACAGTCTCTATTCTGCTCTGTGTCAGTGTTTATCATGATCTCTGAGGACAGGTGTCAATCCATATCTGCCAAGTGACCCTATGTAGGAGGAACAGTCTCTATTCTGCTCTGTGTCGGTGTGTATCAGGGGCTCTGAGGTGTCAATCCATATCTGCCAAGTGACCATATGTAGGGGAACAGTCTCTATTCTGCTCTGTGTCAGTGTGTATCATGATATCTGAAGACAGGTGTAAATCCATATCTGCCAAGTGATCCTATGTAGGAGGAACAGTCTCTATTCTGCTCTGTGTCAGTGTGTATCATGTGCTCTGAGGACAGGTGTCAATCCATATCTGCCAAGTGACCCGATGTAGGGGGAACAGTATCTATTCTGCTCTGTGTCAGTGTGTATCAGGGGCTCTGAGGACAGGTGTCAATCCATATCTGCCAAGTGATCCTATGTAGGAGGAACAGTCTCTATTCTGATCTGTGTCAGTGTGTATCAGGGGCTCTGAGGACAGGTGTCAATCCATATCTGCCAAGTGACCCTATGTAGGAGGAACAGTCTCTATTCTGCTCTGTGTCAGTGTGTATCATGGTCTCTGAGGACCGGTGTCAATCCATATCTGCCAAGTGATCCTATGTAGGAGGAACAGTCTCTATTCTGCTCTGTGTCAGTGTATATCGTGTGCTCTGAGGACAGGTGTCAATCCATATCTGCCAAGTGACCCTTTGTAGGGGAAACAGTCTCTATTTTGCTCTGTGTCAGTGTGTATCATGGTCTCTGAGGACAGGTGTCAATCCATATCTGCCAAGTGACCCTATGTAGGAGGAACAGTCTCAATTCTGCTCTGTGTCAGTGTGTATCAGGGGCTCTGAGGACAGGTGTCAATCCATATCTGCCAATTGACCCTATGTAGGGGAAACAGTCTCTATTCTGCTCTGTGTCAGTGTGTATCATGGTCTCTGAGGACAGGTGTCAATCCATATCTGCCAAGTGACCCTATGTAGGGGAACAGTCTCTATTCTGCTCTGTGTCAGTGTGTATCATGATCTCTGAAGACAGGTGTCAATCCATCCTCTGAAAGTTAGCCGGGGCATTCTTCATCCCGAATGGCATGACCTTAAACTGATACAGGCCAAACGAGGTGACAAATGCCGACTTGTGGATGGCGTCCTCGGCTAATGGAATTTGCCAGTACCCCTTGCACAGATCTATTGTGGTGAGGTACTGGCCTCTGGCCATTTTGTCAAGGAGCTCGTCTATCCGGGGCATAGGGTAGGCGTCTGAGGTTGTTTTATCATTTAGCCTCCGGTAGTCTACACAGAAATGGGTCGTGCCGTCCCATTTCGGTACTAGTACTACCGGGGAGGCCCAGGGGCTGTCAGAGTGTTCTATCACCCTAACTGCATCATTTCCTCAATTTCTTTCTGAATATTTTCTTTAACTGCTTCAGGTATGCGATAGGCGGTTTGGCGAAGGGGGGTCTGGTCTAGGGTTTCAACTTTGTGAGTGGTTAACGGACTGTACCCAGGTAGGTTGGAAAACGTGGCCCCCTTGTCCTGGATTAGTCTTTGGACCTGGGTTCGCTCCTGGGGGTCTAACCGTTCTCCTAACTGTACTTCTCCCAGGTCTCCACTCTAGCCCTCTTGGTCTAGGAGATCTGGGAGTGGCAAATTATCATAATCTTCAGTGGCAGGTGCACAGATCGCAGTTACCTCTTCCGTGCGCTCGTGGTATGGCTTGAGCATGTTCACATGGAGCAGTGAAGGGGGAACAGTCTCTATTCTGCTCTGTGTCAGTGTGTATCATGGTCTCTGAGGACAGGTGTCAATCCATATCTGCCAAGTGACCCTATGTAGGGGAACAGTCTCTATTCTGCTCTGTGTCAGTGTGTATCATGGTCTCTGAGGACAGGTGTCATCCATATCTGCCAAGTGACCCTATGTAGGGGGAACAGTCTCTATTCTGCTCTGTGTCAGTGTGTATCATGGTCTCTGAGGACAGGTGTCAATCCATATCTGCCAAGTGACCCTATGTAGGGGGAACAGTCCCTATTCTGCTCTGTGTCAGTGTTTATCAGGGATCCTTAGGATAGGTGTCAATCCATATCTGCCAAGTAACCCTATGTAGGGGGAACTGTCCCTATTCTGCTCTGTGTCATTGTGTATCAGGGATCCTGAAGATAGGTGTCAATCCATATGTCAAGGTGTCAATATGTCATATGTCAGGTGTCAATCCATATCCATTGTGATTTAGGAATGTTAGGTGATTTATGCCCTTTATGGATTAAGACCAGACTCTGCATCAACTGTGTAATTTTCCATGGGAGTTTTGCCATGGATCCCCTCCGGCATGCCACAGTCCAGGTGTTAGTCCCCTTGAAACAACTTTTGCATCACTATTGTGGCCAGAAAGAGTCCCTGTGTGTTTTAAAATTCGCCTGCCCATTGAAGTCTATGGCGGTTCGCCCGGTTCGCCGGTTCACGAACATTTGCGTTTTGGGTTCGCGACATCACTACTTGAGAGCAGGATTGAAGCTACAAAATGCCTTGATCATGTCCATCAAACAACAGTGGACAGAGAGAAAAGGAAATGGAGGGATATTTTGCATCGCCTTTTGGATGTAACTTTGTTTCTGGCTCATCAGAATCTTCCCTTTTGTGGTCATAGAGAGACCATGTCATCCGCAAACAAAGGCAACTTCCTGGAATTGGTAGAATTGCTCTCAAACTATGATCCCATTTTAAAGGAACATTTCATGAGGCTGAAACATGCTGTTGCATCTGGAAAGAGAATGACTTCCTATTTCTCTCCAAAAATTCAGAACAAATTAATTTGTCTTTTGGGAATTCATGTGAAGGACAAAATAGTGGCTGATATCAAGAAAGCAAAGTACTTTGGGATTCTTTTTGACAGCACCCCTGATGTGTCCCACACTGATCAGATGTGTGAAGTGATCAGATATGTTCATATTGAAGGGGACAATGTTGAAGTAAATTAATCATTCTTGGGCTTCTTTCCTGTTGCTGAAAAGACTGCTGCTGAGCTCACAGAAAATATCCTGCAACATCTGGAGGAAGATGGACTAGACATAAGCCTTTGCCGTGGTCAAGGATATGATAATGCTGCAACTATGGCAGGGATTCATGGTGGTGTTCAAGCAAAAATAAAAGAGATTAATCCCAAGGCTTTGATTATGCCATGTGCAAACCATTCCCTGAACCCATGTGGGGTGCACTCATTTGGAAGTGCTGCTTCCTGTGTGACCTTTTTTGGAACATTGGAGAGAGTGTATTCCTTTTTTTCGGTTTCTACACATCGTTGGGAATTGCTGATGGAGAATTTAGGTGTGACAGTGAAAAGACTTTCCCACACAAGATGGAGCGCTCATTATGATGCTATAAAGCCAGTGAGGGCACATTTTGAAAAACTGACTTCATCCCTTGAAAAATTGTGTAATCCCAAAGAAAATGTGGACACAAGAGGATCGGCTCAGATGTTGCTGTCTGCCGTATGTGATTTTTCTTTTTTGTGTTACCTTTCTTTCTGGTGTGAAGTTCTAGAAGAAGTTAATATCACAAAGAAATATTTGCAAACAGTCGGACTCACTCTTGAAAAGTGCATTGTGAAACTACAAGGTTTGAAAGCGTTTCCAGCAGATCAGCACAGTGAAATTGTGGAGAAGGTCATTTGTTATGCAACTACTACGTGTAAAGAAATGGACATTTCTATTGAAAGAAGAGGGAGAGTAAAGCTCTGTAAAACAATGCCAGGGGAGAAGGCAAAGGACGCTGCTCTCACATTGCCAGAGGAAAGGAAAAGGGCTATGTTTGAGTGCCTTGATCATTTTCATCACGAGTTGGAAATTCGTTCCCAGGCAATTGAAAAAATCCTTTCAATGTTTGCTGTTATTCAGCCAAACTCTCTGGTTGTGGCAACAGAGAAAGATATTCGTAATTATACCCCAAAATTGACTGAGATTTTTGACGAATTCTCTAATGAGGACATCTTTAGGGAAATTGAACATCTTCAAAGGCATTTGGAAGCTGCCAAGATCAGTGTTGAAGAAGCAAAGAAATGGACGGCATTACAGTTCCTGGAGTTCATTGTTAAATGGGATTATTGTGAATCTCTGCCAAATTTGTCACTGTGTTTAAGATTCTTTTTGACTCTGTGTGTGTCTATTGCTTCATGTGAAATAAGTTTTTCCAAATTAAAATTGATAAAAAATTTATTTCGCTCAACCATGAGTGAGACAAGGTTGACAAATCTGGCTATACTTTCAATTGAGCATGAATATGCAAGGAAGATTGGCTTTGATGAAGTAATCGATAAATTTGCAGAAATTATGGCTCGAAGGCAGCGGATGTGAATCATTGCAAATTACCTCTGCCGAATAGACTGAGTGGTCACTTTGGATCTGTGTGTTTTTTTGTTTATAGAAAGCTTATTAGAAGTTAAGTAAATGTTAATTATTTAAATTTAATTTATTTCTAAGTTAATTTATTTTTCAAAGTTCCATTTTTTTCAAGCTGATATACAGGTTACAAATTTGTGCAATAAATATTATTGAAAACATTGAAAAAAATTGTGGGTGTTTTCTTACATTTTTATTATGGGGGAGGGATAAGGGGGGGTGCCACACTAAGGGTCCGCCCCGTGTGCCAAATGCTCTAGGTACGCCCCTGTGTGCACCCTTACGTTTTAGTTATGGCCTTGTATTTTTGCCAAGTTAAGGGAGGTCCCTAGAATGAACAAAAATAAAAGAAGTGTTACTTTTTCATATATGAACTACGGTAACCCTAAAATGAAGATACCTAAGTTATAAATAGATGTACTTTTAAATATTAGAGAAGACAGAGAGAAGAGATTTGGAGACACACGCTGCTCCATCTTATAATGACAGAGGCTGACATGATGACATGTTCAGGAGGGTATATTATTCTATTAATGATATTGCAAGCATATAGTTTAATCTTATAAACTCTGCTATAAATTATTGTAATGGATTTTATATGTCTTTATTTTTATTTAATAAAATATCTAAAAGACAAATCTTTATTGCTTCCAAGACAATCCCTATTTTATATTGTATTCTCAATTATTTATATATTTTAAAGGGACACTCCAGGCACCCAGACCACTTCTGCCCATTGGAGTGGTCTGGGTGCCAACTCCCACTACCCTTAACCCTGCAACTGTAAATATTGCAGTTTTCATAAACTGCAATAATTACATTGCAGGGTTAACTCCTCTTCTAGTGGCTGTCTACTACACTTCCTGGTCTATAGCTATGTGAGGACCTCCAGCGTCGCTAAAATCCCCATAGGAAAGCATTGAAAGCATTTTCAATGCTTTCCTATTGGGAGGTCTAATGTGCGTGCGCGGCTTTGCCGTTCATGCGCATTAGGTCTCATCCTGACGGCGGCGGCGCATGCGCAATCGGTCTCTCCCTGCCGGGAGGAGCGTGGGCATACCCTAAACCTGGTCTCAGGTAAGTCACTGAAGGGGTTTTCACCCCTTCAGCAACATGGGATGGGGGGTGGGAGGGAGAGGGGACCTGCAGTGCCAGGAAAACGATTTGTTTTCCTGGTCCTGGAGTGTCCCTTTAAATAGAGGATCTCTTACTGACTAAATAAAATTATGGCTAAGATATCTGTATGGTTAGTTCTGCTAAGTTCTATGCTTTAAGACCTTATAGTGGTAAATAGGGGAACCAGCTGTGGTTACAATTGGCGCCCAATGCGGGGCTTATACTTGGATGCTTTTGTAGCGGTCCCTGGGCAACCGGGCTGGCTACAACAGCTATTAATGGATGAACAGATCCATTTCCCTCCCAGTAACTGGACAACACACAGTCCCAGGGGTACAACAACATCTTTATTGGGCACATGCGGCTTTATACATTTCACCATGCAAGGGGTGGAACACACATGAAGGCAATGTTCCCTCCCTGGGTTCTCCCCTGCCCAGGGGTCACACAACGAAACTCACTTTTCCGGCCACTCAGTGTCCCCTCCCAGGGTCCTTCCACTCCCACGGGTCTTCTTCCTAGAGGTCCCTGTATCCAGAGGTCGTAGCTCATGAAATTTCCCGCCTCTTTACCTGCCAGCGACAGAGAGTCCGCCATTGTCCCCACAGGATGTCCCCACCAATCTCAGGGACCCCCAGAATGGTAACTGCCATGAACAGTCTTCGTTCACGGGGTCCGTGTGTAAAGCCCGGCAAGGGAAGTGTCTCTTTCAGGAAGTGAATGCTCCCCCTGGTTGGCGTTCGTCTATACGAACTGCAGCCACCCAGAGCAGCACTCATTAACTTCTATTGCGGTTTCACACTATGTTCCGAGTTGCCAACGTTCCAATTGATTGGTGTGAACATTGTAATGGGTGCCAGGGAGGTCCTCACTCGGGAACCGTACAAAGTGGGAAGCAGTCCACAAATGCTCCACCTGGATGGAGTTTGTCTAACGAACAGACCACCACCCAGGGTCGGCACGCGCCGAGGCTTCCCTTGCGGTTTGTGGTTTTGATACCTCAATACGAGGGGTGAACGTTCTAAAACCACATTCTAAATTAGATTCTGTGGTGGTGCCTGTTCGGGCGGTGAATGGAGTCCGTTTTGTGGGAGTACTCCCGAACAGGGAGCAGGCAGTTCTATAGTTCTACAACACACAAGGAACGAAACACAGGGTCAAGCTATATATGGGTCTGTGTGTGTGTGTATGTATGTATAGATGTGTGCATGGTTCTCTGTGTGTCTGCATGGGTTAGTGTCTGTGTATGTGTGTGTGTGTATGGGTCTCTGTGTGTGTATAGGTCAGCGTGTGTCTGCATGGGTCAGTGTGTGTGAAGGGGGGTCAGTGTGAGCATCTGTATGGGTCAG